TGATTTGTCCAGTGTATGTGCTACCCTGGCCACGCCAACTCAGTAAGCTGGGACCTGACATTGGGGCCACAGTGCCCTGCCAGTGAGCAACTCCCACAACCCTGCCGGTGAGCTGTCCCTGTAGCGGATCTAATGATAATGGCAAGCAAAGTTCGCAGGCTCAGATTGCTACACGTCTCGAGTGAGAAACTCCCCTGCGTCCTCCTGCGTGTGTGCCAGTTGATGACCTGCATCTCCCTGGCCGTCTTCGTCCGCGAGAACCGCAGCAAGTTGGAGAGCGCGGGGGGGCTGACGGAGACCATCGGCCGGGCGGCCCACGGCCGCATCTAGCCGGAGAGCTGCAGGGCCGGTGGCCGGCGGGGGTTCGGAGCTTCGGCGCGGACTCGGGTGCCGTGCCGAGTCCGAGTCCCGGAGGAAAGTCGCCCAAAGTTTGGCACCTCAACATACCTCAGCCCAGTGGCACGTGGTCTGGGGTTAGCTAAATGGTTCGCAACCCGTGCAAGGCTGGACACGTGGTCGAACCACTTAGCTAGCTCTCGGACCATCTAAGACGTAGTGAGTCAGTCAGTTTGAGCGCCACTGGGCCGGAGCACTGGGATCAATTGCCAGTCATGCCATCACTTTGGGGATTGTTAGCCTCTGTTTCTCCAAAAAACCCCTGCGTGTTGAGCATGACTGAGTTCAGCCACTTGACTGAGCCAACACCCCGGCTCCTGAGGAGCTTGCTGAATAAGCTTTCCTTCGATTCTTGACTCGATTGAACACCGCCGCGCATGGAGAAAATGAGATGCGTTCCGTGCGATGCTCGCCTGATGTCTTCCCAGCAATGGAGCTTCAAGCTAAAGGGTCGCCTCCCAAATCGTTGCCCTTCGCCTTTCGCAGCATACGATTGATCAATATGTTCCCTTCGGCCCCCAAATGACCATGGGTATCTTCTTCCCATTTAGTGGGGAAGATCAACTTGTTAGTGGGTTTCCCCAATAGCCATCCCATGTAAAGGGCCTTTTGATGAACCCCCATCTGGCCGGGGCGAGGCCAACAAGATTGATTCCCCTTTCGCAGGCGGGAGGTTTCCATACGGTGAGGGAGTCTTCAGCTATCTTTTGCGGGCGGGGGGAGTGACAGTACTCCTGTTTTTTGAGTTTGCCCGGTGGATTCTTCCGAAATCAAAACCTGAGTCAACTTCCTACTCAACATAGAGCCACAAGCAGGTAGTCCTTTTTGCGTTTGCCATTCCACATGGAAGGTTAGCAAACAGGAACCCACGATTGGTGGATGCTTTTGAGGCCCATAGGCGCTTTATGAAAGAAACACGTCAAACGGATATCAGCCACCCAGGCAGATCCCGCCAGCATATCTGTACGCCAGGCGCTACGGAGGCACGGAGCCAACCAGAACTGCGGACTCACTGGCACCCACTCAAAGAAGCGTAACGACTAACCCTGCGAATGTGATCATACCTCATATGGGTGTGGGTCAAAAATAAACCACCAGGGGACCGCCTGTTTTAGTCATGGGTTCCATTTACCAGGGCAAGCCATTTTGGGTACCCATTTTTGACCCACAGCCATATCTAATTACTCATACCAAAGTGCCAAACGAGGCTTGGGCTTGGACTGGCCCCGTTGGTGCAGAAAGTTCTGCACGTGAGCGCCGATCTGATCGGTTGCTCGGCTCGTGGTGCCCATGAGTAAGCGGAACTTCGTTGAGAAGCTGGTGACAAGCAGCAAACAATGGACAACACTGGACACCATGCTGTTTTAGCCATGGAACCTGCAAAAGGTTGGGTTTCTTTGGGGGAAGACTGGTCACTCCCATGTTTGATCATCAAGCATTTGTATGGCAACCTGCTTCGTTGGCTTGTTCTAGAATTTTGGTCGCGGTTGTCACCAGATCCTTCCCCCCGCAACTTGCAACGTGGGGCGTGCAGTATGCAGCCCCTCTCGGCTCAGTCTGAGGGGTTGCCAGGGTGCCGGCCAGAGGCTCAAGTCGGGCGAGGAGTCCACGTTTCCCCGTTGTTCTTGGTGGTTTTGTACATCAAGGTGTGGGAAAGCAGGCAGGTCTTGTTTTGGTGCGGTGTGAGGAATGTTGGGGAAATGTCTGAAGTGAGCCTCAAATGTTGGTTTCAAGCAAGGAGAACCATCTGGACTCGGAGCCATGGGTACCTAAATGTTCGCCTTAGGGAGCCTTTCGGTGGAAAGCAGTACGTGGACTCCCAGGGGTGTTTTTCGCTCGCGGAGCGAGGGCCGCTCGTTTTCTTCTCGTCTCCTTGTCTCGAGTTCGCGGAACTTCCAAGGCCATGGCCTCCATGTTCCTGGACGGGATGATGAGCCAGATTGGCCGCGGGGCTCGGGAGGATTTTGTTTTTTGGTTTGCGAGGTTTGGCAAGGCGAAAGAGGTGAATTTCATTGGGCTGCTCGAGCTCATATGGCGGAAACGGCGGAAGCCAAAGGTGTGTCAAAAGGGGGCCCATTTGGCTTGACTTTGGGGGACGCCAACCTGCACCCTGCAAGCTGGCCACCAAAAACAATGTGAACTGTTGTCTTCGCTCGCGGGCTTTGCTGGTCGGAGGCTTGAAAGGGCCTTTCAACACGTCCTGACAAACACACGAGCACTGAAAAGGGTGCATCTTTTTTTTTTTTTGGGGGGGGGGTTGCTTTACAGGAGCACCAAAAACTCACGTTTTCAGGGTTTCTCAAAAGAGACCCAAGTGCGGCGCTGATTACGAACTTAGCATGGCGTAGCGACTCGGTGAATCACACATGTCCACACACACACACACATCCACACACCCACCCGCACACCCACGCGCGCACTTTATGAGGACATGGAGCTGGCCTGGCTGGTGTTCCCTTGTTGGGTTGTCAGCCCATTTTGGGGGGTCACCCTTACCCGCACCCGCGTGGCCGGAGAGTGGCCGCTCGAACAGCAAGAGAGTTCACATCAAACTTTCCATGGCCTTCAACTTTGACGAACCCTTCTATGCACCCATGGGTTTGGCTGCACATGGTAACCCCCCAGGGTTTCCTTTCGGTTTCCTTTTGCCACCCGCAAGGCAGCCACCCCTTCGTCCAACAGTCCTGGAAGTGGACAAGAGGTCTTCCAAAACCCTCCGGTCTCAGTTCTTTGATTGTTGGAAAGAGATGGGCAGAGGGTAGCCCACGCACCCAGGCTTAGCGGGGTTCTCCCAAGATTGCAAGACTGGGAAACCCACGAAGTTTTGGTTTCCTCTTTGGTTTCAACCTAAAAGCGCGTCCCCCCAAAAACGATGCACCCCATTGGGGTGTCTTTTCTGAGGAAACGCAAGCCAAATGGACAGAGCACCCGTTTGGGAGGTTCCCTCCACTCAGCGCCCATACGAGGCTTGATCAAAGTTAACGGTGCGGTTCTTGTGGGAGGGACATGGAACTCACAACAACAAGTCCCGCACCAAACGCGCAAATTCACCCCGAACGTTTGGCAAGCGTGTATTTTTGGACTGGGCATGGCAGGGGTCCTTGTGTTTCCTTGGGGGTTTGAACATCACCTGTTCGGCCCCTTTTTTCTGGTGAGTGTCCCTGGCTGGCGTTGTTTTTTCATCTGAACCCATTGGCCTGTCTTTTGTGCTCAGTTTGTGCTCTTTGAAAGGGAACCTAAAGTTTGGAAAACCAACTTGAATTCGAACAACCACCCCAGATTTATAAACCAATCCTACCAATTCGGGGGTGTACCCCTCCAAACGTGATGAATCGCCACTAAACCAGAGAGCCCCCCCCCATCAATCAAAAGGGTTTACCAATCCAGAGTCAACCTCAAAGGCTACCAGTTGTGGCCAGGTCAAGAAATCGAACTTGTACAAGCTTTCGAGTCCTTCGCTAAGCACGGTGTTCTCACCCAGCCTTCAATCCCCCCCTTCTCAACAAAGCGGGTCTCGGATTTCTTGAACAACATCTTTTCTCAACATTTCCTCAGAGTTCATGTATCAAAAGCCAACTGTTCTCCACATCAAGGCGGTTTTCCCGCGGTTTTCGGCCCATGGCCCATGGCCGAGGCATCTCCACCCAGGGCTCGCTGGACGCGCTGCGGCGGCAGCTTGGGCCGGGTGTGGACCCCTTGTGCCCCTTGCCGACTGCGGGGTGCATCAAGTGGTTCAGCCAGGAACGATTTTTCCTCCTATCCAAGGGTCCAAGATGAATGAAGGGTCCAAACCCACAGTGATTCGTTGCCAACGGCAACAGACTAAAGGCGTTCAACCGATTCCCACTTCGTCTTTCCGTTTTCCTTCTCTGTCGGAAATAGACCCCGGGCCGCTGTGCGGGTTTGCTGTGCCGGGGTGCATAAGCCGCCCCTAGGAGTTACATTTGGAGGGACCCGTTCTCAGAATTACTCTTGGGGACGGGAGAGGGCCTTAAACCTTTAACCCACGATTTGGAGGGAAGATGAAAGGTAATAGTTTGAAGGGTTCTGAATCTGGGACCATGCAACCACCACCAAGGTGAACCTCATTTGGGCAGCCGTTCACGAAGCCGGTAGCCACGCAGCCGCCTTCGATTCTTCGCGTGCAGTAGCTATTCATTGAACTGCCGGAAGGGGAGAAGCGGCACGGTCCATCTTGTGTCCCCAAAAAACATCGTTGAGAACCCCCCCCCCCCATTTTCGTAGTGTCGAGTTTGTGTCATTTTGTCCTTAGATGACAGTACATGGGGGGGGTCTTGAGGGCACCAGTTTGGTGGTGTCAACACCACCCTTGCGGGGGTTTCTGATTCCTAGTCTGAGTCAACGTGCAATAGCCCGTGTTTGTAATCTAAGGTGCAAAAAACAGGGATGATTTACTTCTACTTTATTTCAGACAACCATCTCGCACACAGGCTTTAAAAGGAGCCCCCCCCACCCAATCACTTGCGCACCGATTGGGGGGTACAGCGAGATGTGGGCCCATGGCTTTCAACAACGGGTCTCGTACACATACCGCTGAGCCGCGGTTCCTCTCCCGCGAGTGCGCCTCCTCCTTCATGAAACCGCAACGCCGGTATGAGATGCCAAGCAGGCGCCTGCGGGGTCTCCGGGTCCATTGTTGCGGGAGACACGTCGAAAACCTGGACCGGCCCCGCACCTGGCGGCAAAACAACATAGAGCCCGCGGGCCCATGGAGTCGGGTCTTTGTAGCTATACGGCTACGGGGCGCCAAACAAGTTCCGTTCAAGAGACTTCGAGATGCCCAGCGTCATTGTACACTTGTTTGATCGTTTTTGACAACAACCACTTCTTGAGAATTCGATCATCCAAAACTGGTGAGTGACACAATTTATTTTAAAAGAACGACTCTATTTAAGCAAAAACTAGTCATTCCCACATTTGGATCCTTATTGGCCGTTTTGTGAGGGATTCTGGCAAAGTCCAGGACGGGTTTGAGAAGGATTCTTTCAAAATCCGAAACACCGTTTTGCAAAGGATTTTTTCCGAAATCCGAACGCCGTTTGCGAAGGATTCTTTCAAAATCCGATCCGCCGTTTTGCGAAGGATTTTTCCGAAATCCGAAACGCCGGTTTGCGAAGGATTCTTTCAAAATCCAGGACGCCGGTTTGCGAAGGATTCTTTCAAAATCAGAACCGCCGTTTTGCGAAGGATTCTTTCAAAATCCAGGAAGCCGTTTTGAGAAGGATTTTCCCGAAATACAAAATGCCGGTTTGCGATGAATTCTGGTGGGATTCTTCTCAAAATCATGCTGCAGCCTAAGAGTTTAGAACCGAGGCTTCAGCCCTGGGAAGGTACTTTGCAAGACAACGAGCCCACTCTGCAAAAGTTGTAGTCTTCTCGAAATTGAGGTCGGCGATGTTGAGAATTCTTCGCAATTTGTTGTGTTCCTTGCCCCAAAATCAAGTTCGGGATTTGCGATGAAACCTGGTGGGAATCATCGCAAAATCTCTTGTATTGCCTGCCCTCCGAAACTGGAAGCCTCAAAAGTGGCAAAAGTGGCCCTGGACGAAGCCTGGACTTTGCGATGATTCCCACCAGGTTTCATCGCAAATCCCGAACTTGATTTTGGGGCAAGAAACACAACAAATTGCGAAGAATTCTCAACATCGCCGACCTCAATTTCGAGAAGACTACACCTTTTGCAGAGTGGGCTCGTTGTCTTGCAAAGTACCTTCCCAGGGCTGAAGCCTCGGTTCTAAACTCTTAGGCTGCAGCATGATTTTGAGAAGAATCCCACCAGAATTCATCGCAAACCGTCATTTTGTATTTCGGGAAAATCCTTCTCAAAACGGCTTCCTGGATTTTGAAAGAATCCTTCGCAAAACGGCGGTTCCGATTTTGAAAGAATCCTTCGCAAACCGGCGGTTCGGATTTAAAAAGAATCCTTCGCAAACCGGTGTTTCGGATTTAAAAAGAATCCTTCGCAAACCGGTGTCCTAGTTGTTAGTTGTTGAGAGAACCCTTCGCAAAACGGCGTCCTGGACTTTACCAGAATCCCTCGTAAAACGGCCAACAACGATCTAAATGTGGGAATGACAGGTTTTCGGCTAAACAGAGTCGCTTTTTTTTAAAGCATAATTGTGTCACTCACCAGTTTTGGAAGATCGAATTCTCAAGAAGTGCTTGTTGTCATAAACGATCAAACAAGGGTACAATGACGCTGGGCATCTCGAAGTCTCTTGAACGGAACTTGTTTGGCGCCCCGTAGCCGTATAGCTACAAAGACCCGACTCCATGGGCCCGCGGGCTCTATGTTGTTTTGCCGCCAGGTGCGGGGCCGGTCCAGGTTTTCGACGTGTCTCCCGCAACAATGGACCCGGAGACCCCGCAGGCGCCTGCTTGGCCTCTCATACGGGCGTTGCGGTTTCATGAAGGAGGAGGCGCACTCGCGGGAGAGGAACCGCGGCTCAGCGGTATGTGTACGAGATCCGTTGTTGAAAGCCATGGGCCCACATCTCGCTGTACCCCCCAATCGGTGCGCACGTGATTGGGTGGGGGGGCTCCTTTTAAAGCCTGTGTGCGAGATGGTTGTCTGAAATAAAGTAGAAGTAAATCATCCCTGTTTTTTGCACCTTAGACTTTAAACACGGGCTATTGCACGTTGACTCAGACTAGGAATCAGAAACCCCCGCAAGGGTGGTGTTGAAACCACCAAACTGGTGCCCTCAAACCCCCCCCCCATGTACTGTCATCTAAGGACAAAATGACACAAACTCGACACTACGAAAATGGAGGGGGGTTCTCAACGAGTTTTTTTGGGGACACAAGATTCTCCCCTTCCGGCAGTTCAATGAATAGTGCTACTGCACGCGAAGAATCGAAGGCGGCTGCGTGGCTACTGGCTTCGTGAACGGCTGCCCAAATGAGGTTCACCTTGGTGGTGGTTGCATGGTCCCAGATTCAGAACCCTTCAAACTATTACCTTTCATCTTCCCTCCAAATCGTGGGTTAAAGGTTTAAGGCCCTCTCCCGTCCCCAAGAGTAATTTTGAGAACGGGTCCCTCCAAATGTAACTCCTAGGGGCGGCTTATGCACCCCGGCACAGCAAACCCGCACAGCGGCCCGGGGTCTATTTCCGACAGAGAAGGAAAACGGAAAGACGAAGTGGGAATCGGTTGAACGCCTTTAGTCTGTTGCCGTTGGCAACGAATCACTGTGGGTTTGGACCCTTCATCCATCTTGGACCCTTGGATAGGAGGAAAAATCGTTCAGGGGTCAGGTCAGGTTCCCCCGCGATGTTTCCCTTGGTAGGGTTCACACGTCGCCCTTGTTTGGCTCATTAGGTGAGTTTCCCTTGGCTTGAGGGAAATTTTTAGGGAGCCCTGTCAGGTTCCCCTAGGTGCTTTTGTTTCTTTTAGTGAGTTTAGTGGTTGGGTGTCCATTTAACCCACTAAATGTGAAACAGTTTTCGGGGATTTGAGGGCCCAGGTTCAATTGGGGGACCCTGGTGGTTCTCTGCACGGGTTCTCTGCGACCCCACAAGTTGGGGTGCTGATGATTTCGTTGGAAGGTACGACTATGACAAGAGGGACTCTAGGCCTCGATTGCCCAAGGCAGAGGCGGGAGGGGGTTGGGCACGGCGAAGAAATGGACAAGGACGCAAGGCAAATGGCACGTCCTGTCTTACTTGGCGTAGTGCCAACCACCTGTCTGTTGGGCTCTTCCTTGTTTTGGAACAGGCTTGGTCGGTCTACTTGTCATGGTCCCCCTGGCGCTCGCCATTTACTTCTTGCGAGCAGTGCGAGGCCAACAGGGGGTTCACAGGCAAAGGTGCGATTCCATTTAGATCGAAGTGAGCAGCGCTCCTTTCCCAAAAGAATCCTCTTCCAGAGGGACGTGTGCCCAAGTATGGAAAAGTGTCCTAAAAACATGGAAAGGTTAGGAGACAACCATCCTGTTGAGGCCCCTTCAGGAGCTTTCCTCCCAAACCAAGGAACGCAGCCGGATTTGAAGGGGTTGGATCTTTAGACTTCAACTTTTGGGGAAATCAAGGGTTTGCCCTTGAACCCACAAAAGGTTAAGCCGGTTAAGCTTTTCGCAGAGGGGTCCACCGCAACCAACTGAAGGGGATACGTTCTTCCCGCTTCCCACTCCCATGGCAAGCCCCGTTTCGGTTGCAACTCGGCGTTTCGGTTGCGGATGTTGCAGGAGGCCAAGGAGGGCACCGGGAGCATCGACCAGCTCCGGCGGACTTTGAGGGAGGCGACGATCGAATCGAACACTCGACGCCCGATCGATCGGCTCACAAACCGCTGCTGAATCTTTTGCCGAGTTCGTGGATCTGGGGTCTTTGAGTGTTTTTTTTGCGAAAGGAAACCAGGCAATATCCCGCGCAAGCTTTGCTTGGCGTGTTGGCCTTGTCCCATGTTAGAGGGAACGCTCCACTTTTTGAGCAAGCCACTTGTAACAAGTGGATTTATTTGGTTCAGCAGAACCATGTCAGTGTAGTCAAAAAGCACCTCCAAGACAACATGGGGGTATGTCATTTCCAGTCTTAGCCTTTTTGTTTTTCCTTCATTCTTCCTTTCAGGAAGAAACAGGTTTACCTTTTTGCAGGGTCGAAGCCTGGCCTATTTCCGTTTTTTCCATACTTTCCATCACGTGTTCCTCTGTTTTTCCCTATTTCTCTTGCGGAGATCAGTGATTCAGGGAACCTAGGCCTTCCCCATTTTGCCCTGCGTTCCGATGCCAAAGACAGCTGTGGCAGGTGGTGGGTGTGGCCACAGATGAGACGGAGCAGGCGCGGGTTGTGGATTCATGGATTCACAGCCACCGGACTCCTTTGGTTAAGGCATTTTGGATTCAGGCAACCTTTTGGATGGAGCTACATGTTGCAAGTCTGGCATCGCCGTCCAGGCGGCTCGAATTCCGAGCCGATCTTTCGGCTTTTGGCTGTAAATGTGCATGGGTCAAAATGAACCCCCTGGATATGGACTGCGGGTTTTAGCCCATTCCATTTACCAGGCTTCCACTCTGGGCACGCTGTCTCCCACTCCAAGAGGAAAGTGATCTGCCAGAGGTGCCATGTTAGTGGGCGGGAGGGTTCCTTTTTTGGACCCAACAAACGGGTTTCGTCACAGCTCCAAGCCACCGACTCGCCAAGCCACGGATGTGGATGTTCTGCGCGGAGCTCAGGCCGAGGAGCAGGCTCCGGAGGAGTGGAAGCTCTCACCGGCCCAGATCCGGGCGATGCGGGAATCCAAGAGGCCGCACCGTGCTTTTTTGGGGGGCTGCCACGTTTCTTAGTCTTTGCTTTAAGTTTTTTTCATTTGGGCCCAAGAGGTGTCCTTTTGGTTCTTTCTGGCTTTGCATTGCTTTCTTGTTGGTTCCATGTGGTTGCGGCTTCCTTCCGGTTGTTTGTCTCTCTTTGGCTGCTTGCGGATTTCCGCCACTTGCTTTAGTAGTGATTGTGAAAGTGTTACGCCTCCCGCTTGCTGTGATACTTTTTAGCCACGGATTCGGACAGACAACATCCACTTGGAATAAACCCCATTCCAAGCGTTTTTCCGATGGAGCGAGGGTGCTGAGGCATGGAAAGGGTCACCATGGAGCTTTGGGCTCTCCGGCTCGCAGTTGGCCGCTCGGCGAAGGTGGCGAAGCGCCTTTCAAATCCATAGTGGATTCTTTCGGACAGCCTTCAGCCAAGGTCTTGATCATGTCTTTGGGGCGAGCACTTGCTATCCTACAGGGCATGGTACTTGCTCAGTCAGCGGCTTGGGTAGCTAAGCAAATGAGCAATTGGATCTCGGGATGTCACAGCTTATCCATTCGGCTTTTAAGGCCTTCCTTCAAGCTCTTTCGGCATTTCATGGGAGGCCCCCTTCTCCCCGGAAAGGGCCACATGAGACTCTGAGCGCGCCAGGCCCATGTCATCCTTTGTGTCCACCACCCGGGACCATGTGAACTCCCTGGCACAGACCTCAGCCTTTCATCGGCCAAAGGAACACCCGCGGTGCGGACAAACTCGCCGAGAATCAGCGCCACCTATGGGGGTTTTCCATTTGCGTTGGGTTTCCTCTTTAAAAAGATGGGCTTGGAAAGAAGATGAGCTGGAATTTGGGGAGATCCTTTTCCTCCCGCATTTGTGTTTTGGACCGGCCCTTCCCTTTTTTCTTCTCCGCACGGGCCCCCGACCGAACCGAAGAACGAGGCCATCGAGAACCGCTTCCGGGCGCCGCCCCCGGGCTCCTACCGACCCACCGCCCATCTCTGCGAGCCCCGCGTGAAGACCCCGGCGGGGGGCCTCGGCCCGATTGGGCCCAGCTGGGCGGGTCGCCTGCGCAAAACTGGGCGGGCGGGGCGCGCAGGAATTGGTTGGCCCCGTAGGTTTCAACCTATGTACATTAACATAAAAATGTTGGGTGGGGATGTTCCCCTCGAAAAGTGATTTGTTCCCCTCACTAAAACCAGGGACACGCCCGTCTTGATAAACAGGGGCTTATGAATCCGGGGTCATGAAAGGCTACCAGTTGTGGCCGTGCTCAGAAATCTCCGTTGAGCGCTGATTTCGGGGCCTTCCTTCGCCCACGCTGTTCTCACCCTTTTCTCAGCTTGATATTTGCAACCCACAGGATTCTGCGCAGACTACTTCAGTCAGCACGGCTCAAAATCATCCTTCAAGGAATGCCATTCCACTTCTGTGATACCAAGCGAAATGCTTGAAGTGAGTTGTCATGGGAATCAGCCACTCTGGCATCACAGAAAGATGAGTTGTCCATGATGTTTCTTTAGCAGCCCATGGCATGGTAGGACCAACCCGCAACGCGTGTTCCATTGTGGCTAGGGCAATGTGGAAGCGACGTCACGGGGGAAGTACCAGATATATGTGAGGGTATTGCCTTCGCGTATATTTGCATTGCTATATGGACACGTCCTTGTTGGACGGTACCTTCTGGTCCGAAGAGAAGCCAAAGAAAGACAACCATTTGGGGTTCTCTTATTTTGAGGGAAAGCCATATCTTTGCGAATTCTTTAAACCACACCCGCCAAGATGATCCAAAGGCGCTTTTGCAACACCATTGGCGGGTTGGTTCCCCCCCCCTGCCAACCCCCGGAATCTGCACACCCTGTTTTTCCAACCCGCCCAAGCCATTCATTTGACATCATTTGGCTATTCCAGGCCCTTTCCCCTCCTAGTCACCCCTAAAACGGCTTAGGCTCTGCTTGCAACCTCCTTCAGGCCAATTAGTGGTACTGTGGGTGGGCGATATCCTGCACCACTTTGAAACCATAGCAAGCCATTGCTTGTTGGCATTTACAGAGAAAGAAGCATCACCGCAGTTTTTTTTTTTGGTGGTGCGGATTTGCGGTTTATGGCTAAAACCGCAACCATCCGCAAGATTCTCAGACGTTTTTGGGGCTGCGTGCCCTCCTTCGACGCCGAGGTCTTCCGGCCCCGCGATGCCACCCACAGCCGGAAGCTGAAGATGCTGGACAGAGAGGCGCGAAATGGCGGATGGGGATGGGGGTGCGCCAAGTGTCTGGGTGGGTTTCAACGGGAACACCAAAAGAGGAGAATCTGAAATCCATTGTGGGGGTCACACACCGAAAAGAAGGAAAAACACCTTCAAGTCATTACTTTTGTGTCAAAGGGCGCTTTTTCCACAGCCTTGTCCAACCCCAGCATTCCCACACCTTGCTTGCTGGAAGCAAACTTCTCAACAGGAACGAGAATCCGGAATCCATTTTGGGAGTCACACCGAAAAGAAGGAACAAGAACACGCCCATGGTTGCGGGGAGAGTTTCTCCAAATCGCATTCATGGGGAATCCCTTTTGGTTGGGGAAAGCGAACGTGGAACCAAGCATGGGTAGCGGTTCTTGCCGGGTGCGTAGCAATAATGTTTGATTTCCCAGGGTCACTTTTCTTGGGTCATGGTTTGCCTTGGTTTCTTTTGACAAATCAAGGTCGCGGTTCTCACGGGTGTTTGCTGTATAGGGTATAGAATGCCCCTCTGGGCCCTTTTTGGATTTGTCCAGGCAAAGAGAAGCAAGCCTACCATAAACAGGTTGTTCCATGCAGCTGGAAACGGCGGATGACTCCACCGTCACCTGATGTATCGCGTGTGCGCCTCATTCGCTTTTTGAGACTGGCCCCATTATTTTATCATGATCAAAGTCACCCCCCCCAAACCATCAAAAATGACCTCTGTGAGATGGGCTGGGGATCGTGAGTTGGTGCCAGCTGAGCAGCGCAGAAATCATCCACGCCCTGAGCTTTTTTTCGCCACCCAAGGTCAACAGACTGCGACATGCCCATTTGGAAGGACCAAATGGCAACTCGAAAGGGGGTGCCGTATTGTGATGACCCACAGTTTGCATGGTTGCCCCAACTATTTTTTGAGGGATGGAAGAGACGTATTTGCCATGTATATTCCCCTGGTACAAGGGGAGCGCACCCGAGCTTCCTGTGCAAATGCTGGCCTTTTGGAGCTCCAAGCGAAAGATGCAGCCTCTTTCCCTTGGACAGGGTTGCACCTTTGCCGTTAGTTAACACGAAGGATATATTTGAATCCTAACTCCAGTTCTTGGCAAGCGGCCAGTTAGAGTCCCATCTGGGACTCGATTGCTTCAAAGGTGCCGCCTTCCAAGTTGTTTGCTGGGAAGCCAAGCGAACCAGCCAAACGTTGACCGCAGGACCCACGTGCTTGGGGCTTCCAGTTGTCTTCCATTTGCCTAAGAATATGTGTTATTTTCCCTTGTTGGTTTTAAAGGGACTCCATCACTGGAAGCATTGTTTCATTTTTCCCAGGGGTCTTTTGCGCAAATGGAGGCTTTCCGACCCGCGCGGATCGGTTTTCGTTTGAGGTGACGAAGCTCAAGGAGAGCGGCAGGCCCTACGAGCACTTGCTGCTGGCCCGGGACCCGGAGGATGCGGCCAGCGGCCGGGCGGCCGGGGGAGGGCCCTGGTGACTGACTCACCAAAACGAGGTCCCCCAGCGAAAGGGTGCCCGTTTTACCGCTTTTTGGGGGGAGGGTTCCCCTACTAAAATAGGCTACAGAAAAAAAGTGCAGCCTTATTCTAACCTCTCTACTGGAGGGCCTAGAAAAGGTGAAGACGCGAGGTCAGATCCATAGATTTGGTACGGTAGATGTGGCAGAATTGGGGGTTATCCATAGATGAAGACTGGCTTTTGGACATTGGTTTGGCACGGCAGATGTGTTGGCGTCGACAAGATCGACCTGCGAGTGCAGGACTCGTGGCCTGGCCCTAACTTTTGAGGCACCGGGAGCCTTAGATGCGTGAGGGTGGGTGGGTGGGTGGGGGGTGAGGGTCCAACTTGTTCTCCTACTTGCCGGAAGATACCGATGGCTTGCGCGTCAGGGCTGCAGCAGCGTGGAGCTTTTGGATGCGGCGCCCGAGAGGACTCGAATTTGCGAGCCGAGCCTTGAGGGGGTCGCACTGGCACGCCAGACCCGCTGAAAAAAAGAGAGAGCGTGGGACCTATGTACACTCCGAGCTCTTGTTCACTGTGCGCCCTATTTGCAACTGGCAAGGTGTTTTTGTTTTCCAGTGGAGCCCAGTTCTTATAGTAGGGAAACGGCCATTCTCCTGTTGGGGGTTTCTAAAGGGGTGGTTCCCTTGATTCCATACGGGTGTTGTATGGAATTTTATCAGCGATGGGAACCCTGGATTCCTCGCTTGCCTGACTTGCCCGACACTGAATTTATGGGACTGATAATCATGGTTTCTCCCGAACAGCTTTCCAATGAGGTTTTGTTAGCTCTGTAATTGTGGACAAACGAGGGGGTGGGCGACGGGCGACCAGGCATGTCAAGAATACATCGCAGATAAGGAAGTAACCTACGTCTTAGATACTCCCATGCCTTTGCATTTTGAATCATATGGGGTCCAATGGGCAGAGCCAACATTTCGCTTTTCGTAGGGCAGGGCTCTCATGTTTGCCACGCTGTCCCGCAGGATGCGGAGATGTGTCACCTCGCCCAGCCTGGATCGATACACGGCAAGGCCTTGTCTTCAAGCCGAAAGCTTGCAACGTTTTTGGAGCCAGCTGTGCGTATTCAAAGGGCACTGGGGCCTGGTTTTTAAAGGCTTTGCCTGCCTGGGAGGGGGTGCTGGGCTTGAGCCAATTTTCGGCACGGTTGTGTTCGCATGAGATTGAAACGTCCCCAATATTGAAGGGGTGTTGCACCCCGGTGAGGGGGGAGAGATGATCCAGAATCCGTGGTTCTGCGGGGCGCGCGTTTCAAAGGATAGGCATAGCCAATATTCTTTGGGGCATTTGATTTGTTCAGTTTGGTTCTGCATAATGGTAAGCCACAGCTAGTTGGAAGGGTGCACGGAGTTTTGGACACTCAGCCCAGCTCTTCCCAACAGTTTCCAAGGGCTTTCCATTTCGGTGAAATTTAATTTGCCCTTTGACCGGCAATCTGGCTTAGTCTTTCGCGGCACCTTAAGCAAATGTAAGGTCAAATAGGGCCTCAGGTTCTTTGGGGCAGGAGGTTCTCCACTGAGGGTGCTAAGCCTGGACTTCTTTCGGTCGATTTCATGCACCCCACGTCTCCAAGTTTCCCTTTAGGGATTTCCTTGACACCACCATTTCAGAGCAGCACCCTCCAAGCCATGCACCTCCTTTGAAGAAAAGATGGTCTTCCAGGACCCCAGGCAGGTGCCTTGGGTGGAAAAGTCTGGGGTGCACGGCGGGGCGAACAGCAGGCCGGACATGGTGAAGCTGGCGAACATCCACTTTCACGACAGCCAATTCACGGCTGGGGCCTTGGAAAGCGGAGATGAAACGCGAGGGTTCCCCCAGAAAAGGTCGTACAAAGAAACCATTGGGCGTCTCCCCACATCCTCAAAATACATTGACCTTGTTGAGATCACAGTGCCCGGATTCCTGGAAAGCAATATCAAAAGACAGCTGGGCCCCAGCTTCCCCGCCCCCCAGACGTGGACGGTGAGCTCGCGGATCCGAGGACCACGTCTTGGACGGCGACATCAGTACCTCCATGATCCTTCGCAACCCCAGCTGGGATTTCGCGAAGCCTTGGTCTTGGCGAAATGTCGAAGCGCGTGAGTCTGATTGAGGAGGGGAGTGGGGCCTCCAAAAGTTACCCCCGAACCCCCACGACAAGGGGACCTGCGAATCGATTCACCAAGGCTTTTCCAACCCGGTTAGCATGAAAGGGTGA